TGCATCGTTCTCCTTGTGAAGCATTATTATCAGTCATACCCAGGGCACGTAAGATGACAATTATTGTAAAGAAAAGGTGCTATGCAAATTTAAAGACAAGCCACCACGTGCCTAGACAACTTTGCAGCATTAAAAGCAGCCATGACGCACGATAATCGAAATCATTTTTTGGACCGAAGAGCTTGCCTTAAATATAACAGATGATTACTTATACGCGTACGGCGCTATCCGCTTTATCATTGGGTCACTGGGCGATCACCAGATGACCAAATAACTGGACGGCTAGGTTAACTGGTTATCTTGAATTAGAGCCCTTCCGATCAGTAATGAGCATTTCAGGCCTGTGGAATGAAGGACACTGGATAACGGTAGGACAGAAATACATGCTCCGGGGGGGGGGGGGGGGGAGGGGAGCCACCACCGAGCTTCAACGCGCAAGGACCCATCTGCGAGGTATGTGCTGGGCGCCTGGTCGGGGTCCCCTCCAGGGGCCTCTCAGCTCACCCGTGGCTGACACATGCAGCCTGCCCGGGACAAGCGGGGCGTCGCGAGGATGCATAATGGAGCAAGAAAGGAGAAGGTCGGATGCACTGGACGGCTGATGCAATCCTAAGGACGCAAGAGCGTGTGAGGGGATTAGGAAGGACTCTTAGACCCACTCCTTGTATTTGCATACTCGGTGTGTTCAAACTTTCTGGTGGTTGTTACTGCACCCCTCGTCATCAATAAAGGCTCCGAGGAATAAGAAGAATGAGATGATGTTGAGAAGAAAAGGGTTCTGGATATACGTTTGATACTATATATATATATATATATATATATATATATATATATATATATGTATGTATATATATGTTTGATAGCATATGAGGTCTTTTCTCGCGCTGTGGATTTTCTCAATAACGCATATTTTGCGCCGTAAGTCTTAACTTTTTGTTCAAATTGTTTACCTTCATTGTTGTGATGGGACGAAAATTGCGATATTTGTCTTCGAAAGGTTGCTTCCCTCACACTTCTGCTACCTTTCTGCTATGCTGGTTACAACGGCTACAGGCATGAAGCTTTAAAAAGGGTGGTGTTACGACCACAAACAGCCGGCGATTACGGTCATAATGCAGATGAATGTACTCTCATGGATTGTGTCTTGCCTTTCCCGAAAGTTCTGCATTGCCCTTCTCTCGTTCGAAGCGAGGCTGTCTTCAGCCCTGAACAGGCCGACGCGAGCACCTCTGTCGTTTGAAAACTGAGCTTCCTCATCCCACGAAACCCATTTATTTCATACAATGTTCAATTAATGTCATGCGTCTCTCAGTCGGTAAAAATTTCGGCGCTAGACCAACATTTATCTCTTACCGCGATAACGCATGTTGTATGGTATCAGCTCTGTACCCGTTAAATCTCGCGCTCGCTAGTCTTATGTGCGAATGATATATTTTGCTTTTCCGGTATCCGATAGAATTGAACTGTCAGTACTGCCGTTTGTTTACATTGAAGTCATTGATTCGGTCCTCTCTTCGCCCTAACATCTTCTGCATTTTCTTCCGGTTCATCGACTCTTCCATATTTTCTTTTGCTGTTCTGTTGGCGTACTCCGTGTTCCGCTTCTCTTCTCGTATGGTTCGCATTCGCTATAGGTACCACATCTGTGATGTCTGTGACATCTGTGACGTTGTGACGTTGGGCTGGTGATGCTGCTCACCAGCAGATTAGAAGCATAAGATGACTGTCCGCGCGGACAGCTGGTGCTGGTGGCTTCGCATCCCCGTGCGGACACCGTCGGGGATGCGAAGCTGCCGTCCCCGTGCGGACACCGTCGGGGATGAGAAGCTACCATCCCCGTGCGGACGCCGTCGGGGATGCGAAGCTGCCATCCCTGTGCGGACAGCGTTGGGGATGAGAAGTTACCATCCCCCTGGGGACACCGTCGGGGATGAGAAGCTGCCCTCCCCGTGCGGATGCCGTCGGGGATGCGAAGCCGCCATCCCTGTGCGGACAGCGTTGGGGATGAGAGTTACCATCCCCCTGGGGACAACCGTCGGGGATGAGAAGCTGCCCTCCCCGTGCGGATGCCGTCGGGGATGCGAGGCTGCCATCCCCGTGCGGATGCCGTCGGGGATGCGAAGCTGCCATCCCCGCGTGGACGCCGTCGGGCATGCGAAGCTGCCATCTCCGTGCGGACACTGTCAGGAATGCGAAGCTACCATCCCCGCGCGGACGCCGTCGGGCATGCGAAGCTGTCATCTCCGTGCGGACGCCGTCGGGGAAGCGAGCCTCCATCCCCGTCCAGGCGCCGTCTGCCCAGTGTGGACAGGCCTTCATCAGTTGTACGGACAGCTGACTGCTCCGGACTATAAACACCACGCAGACGCTGTCGGAGACGTAAAAATTCCGTTATGCGCGAACGCCGTCTGCGCAGCGTGGACAGGCCTTCACTTCAGCATTGAGGAATTTTTCAACTTGGGTCGGCCCAACACAGTCCGGGTGTCGCGTCATGCATAGAAGCGAGCATATTTGCAACTTCTGATCACACCAGCACGCAGCTTTCAATCTGTGGGAGAATTCTTGCCTAAATAAAACAAGGCTCTTTCGTGCAAGTTATTTTGACCGGGTGAGATTTTCCTGTAACATTACAATGTGAACTCTTTTTTTTAAAAGATTTGATCCGAACCTTCTGAATGGATGGATTTCCGGGATCAGAGCTCACGCTAAGCAGTGCTTGTGTGAGCCCTGACTCCTACCGATAGATAGCTTTCGAACGATAGATAGCTTTCCTCATTAGATTGGTGTGACAGCGTCTCAAAACCAGCCTTTTTTGACAGCAGAAAGAGCGGACGATCGTTCTAACAAAAGGGTACCAGTGTGCGCAGCCAGCACGCGTCATCGAGCACAAGGTATGGATTGGCTCGTTTCGGAACTTTTTTAGGGATTGATGACTGGTCTTCGCAAACTGAGAGCAGAGAGAAGCGACACGAAATGTATGGCGTAAATGAATATACGCATACCGTCTACAATGCACAAGACGCTACCACCACCAAGACGTTCGGTCCATAGGCACTGTCCAGTTCACAAGCACGTAAACGACACGGGCGGCAAGTGTCACCCTTTTCGAAATCGGTCTCGGGCGGCGTGGCGGTCGCTGTAACCAAAAACTAAATCACCACACATTTATGGGCTAAATTAACCGACATTGCCAGACCTGGCCAAACGCCCGGCCAGCCAGCTTTCATGCAGGGTGGTGTAAAAATAAGCGTCTGGACGACAAAAGATGCCATTTAAAATCTGTCTACTAACGTCATGACAGGCGGACTTTCTAATACATTGATCACACCCATTTTCATAAGCTCTCAGGTAGAGTCTGTCTCAATTGGTTATCGTCTTAATGTCGGCTAGGTTTACGACGATAGTTGATAACCCACACATTTGTTCTCACGTCGTTCTTCTGGCATTCACAAGGCTGGTTTCATTTCATTGCATAACACGTACAGAATACAAAAACAGGACGTCTATGCAATGCGATTGAAGCACAAGCGGCTTCAGTCTGTCACGTCACTTGACCCACGTGAGCCCATCTTGAGGCTTGCCCGAGCTAAGGCCCAGCTGTGAGTCTGCTTGTGCTTTGTGTTGCGTAGCCCAATCAGAGCTCACGGAAAATCAAGTTCCTACACGAGTAGTTTTGGCAAGCAGCTATGATAGGCTGTGCCATGTTCTACCGGAATTGTGTCTCTGCCTGTCTCTACCCGCCCATAGCCTAGTGTGGTCAAATTATATGGTAGGATGAGTCATCTTTGCCCGACTTAGTTCTTTTCCAATCATTGGTCTAACTTAGTCCTCACAGCCCATCAGGCCAATAGCCCAACTTTCCAATCGTCAGCCCAACAGCTCAACAGACCAACTTTCCAGTCGTCAGCTCAACAGCCCAACTTTCCCACCGTCAACTCAACAGCCTGATTACTTCTCTGCCCGCAGGGACGGATCTAGCCTGGAGTTTTTTTTTTGGGGGGGGGACAGTTCGTCCGGGGACCGTTTTTGGGGGGGGGGGGGAACCGTTCGTCGCCAGCTGGCTGCCGTGAGATCCGAGGTCCAGTGCATGGTGCCTCTCGCGAGTACCTAGAAGGGACACCATTCAAGCACCGAAATGCTTTTGAAACTTCTATATACAGTATGCATGTTTACAAAGCTCGTTACATAAGATATTACTTTCAAGAGTCAACTGGTCAGACGGGGTTTATTCCAAATGGTGATCAGGGTGACAAACGGTGAAACAGGGTAATCAGGCCGGACAATGAATGATTCTAATGGCTATGGAGCGTGGTGGCAGCTGCGGAGCGGCTGTGGCGGCGGGCACACCGGTGAGCCGCGCTGCGGAACGAGATGAATGATGAGTCAGTCAGGAGTCAGGATACAATGTTTCCGAAACAGAAACGTTTGATACCGCACCATCAAAGTTAAAACAGACGGTAAGTAGACGAAACTTTTATGAAGTTCTGGAAATGTTTTTTTTTGGGGGGGGGGCAAAACGTACTCTCAGTTTTTTGGGAAGGCATGGCCCGTGCCCCCCCCCCCCCCAGGATCCGCCTATGTTTGCCCGACTTAGTCCTTTTCTATTCCTCAGCCCAACAAAATGTTGATCGAAGCAACATGCCAACTGTGGAGGATTTGTAGAGAATCGATGCTTACACTTTGAGCCTGAGAAAAATCAGGCTCGAAAACAATTTGGAGTGCCCAAGTCATGACAATGATCATCGTTATTTCCTTTGACATGTTAGGAATTCTGGCTGACACCAATCCACTTCCCTCTGACGAGTTGTCTTTTCCATATTCCATTCAAATGAACAAGGTTTGAGCTCGAGAGTTGGGTATTTTCAGTTGCACGCCCTCGGCATACCCCTTCGCTGGGTTATCAGGCACCCCACGCATCAGCTGACCCAAGGCCAATCCTATTTACGTTTGCTTTATGGCGCAACCGGGACGTGGGCAATGTCAGAGCGGTCAAGTCGGTCAAGGGTTCGGCGACCGGGGCGGTCTGGCTGGGGCCGCGGGTCGTTTATCCGCCGCATAAGAACCGGGTCTGCCTGACCGTTAGCGCGCCTGCGCCGTGGTGTTCTGTTTCTCGTCTGATCAACCGGGGGTACGTCCTGTTCCGGCTGAGCGCTGGTCTGACTGCTGGCTTGCACGGTAACCTGTACTAGGGACATCGTTTTTGAGGCAGTACAACCCGAACGCAGCAGGTATGCCGCTGTCCAACAGGGAAAGCATTGAACATTAGGTGTTGTCCTTGCAGATGCTGGATAGAATAGCAATTGGGGTTGGCGGATAACTGGAGGTTGGCTGTTATGTTGGTACCATGCAAATGTGTCTAGGTGGCTTGAAAATGTATTACTGTTGTATTTGTCATGCTGAAACTGATCATGATGTTGTATGGGATGAGTTTAATATTATAGCCTACTAAAACATTGTTAAATGAACAGTAGGATAGGGAACTCTATCTTGTGTGACCCCAGAACATCTGCATACCAAAAAGCTAGATATTGAAGTGTCATAAATGTACATAGTTCTTGAGGATTGGTAACAACAATAAGTGGCATATGTTTTATTCATGTGTGTTTTTTTCTTTTAGACTGGTTTCTGGCAGCTGTTGTGTTCTTTGTTTTGTGTTCATGTGTGGTTTGGATGCTTCAGAAAATGGCTTGATATGTAATATTTAGAATAAAAGCCAGATAGAGAATTGGTTCTGGGATGCACAAGGCTTCTACTTCAGTGTGTGCATGTCAAAGGATCATATTCTTATAATCCTTAATGTTTCTGTGTGATCATGACAATTGTCAGTGGCCTGTCGTACTGGTCTACCAGCTGGTACACTTATAGCAGTTCTGTGGAACTAGTGTAATATATCAGCTAACCTGCTAACTTTTTATGCCAACTTGCAAGCTGCTAACCAACTTTTTAGTGTGAGGAAAGCTGTGTCCTGAGTGAGTTGTGCACAATCCTTGTAAACATTTTAACCTCAATTACCTAGACCAGCCTAGCTGGACTGCCATGTTTCTGAGAGCCTGTTTTCAGCAAGACACAGTTCACAAATTGCAGTTTTGCTACACAGGTTTGCCACACTCAGTCAATAGCAAAGAGAAGGCAAAATTCAATATTTGAAGCAGCTTGTGAATAGCAAAAGAGCAGAACTAGGTCCAGATCCTGGCAACCCCATATTGCAGCAGCACAAGAATAACAATCATGCTAAAAAAGAAGACTGTCCTCATTGAAAAAGTGTGGGTGCTGTGTGGAAGATGTTTGCACCCTTCCCACATTCTTCTGTGTGCAAACCTTGCATGTGCCTGGTTCAAGTGCATTTTAAGATCTATATCAGATATAGCAGGCAGGGCAGAATGTGTTTTGAACATGATGGCAAAGGCAGAGCACCCTACCTTTGGTGTGTCATCTGTTACCTGCCTAGAAAATTTGAACCCTTGAGTAGAAATGAATCCATATGTATCATGGCTGTGCCTCAGCCCAAAGAGTCCTGTGCTTGTCTTCAAAAGGGACTGGCATGCCAACTACGTTGCCTCTCTGAGGCTGGTGTAGTATTCAGTGGTAATGCTTTTCAAAATCTTTTGATGGAAAACCTGAAAACTTGGATTCAATGCATCTTAGTTTCATCCCTGATATCTAGTTACACTCCATACTGATGTGTTTGGACATCTGAATGAAATAAGTGTTGCATGCAACTGATGACCCTGTGAGTGATTTTGGTCACATCACTGTTCCTGCTAAATACCCCACAATCTATACATGAAGACAGATTGTGGATGGTCAGAGATGGGTCGACAGACGAAAAGCACGAGCACGGACTGCCCATCTCAACATGCCTGCAGTGATGTAACCTCATCCAGGCTGGCCTCCTGCCTTGTCCGGGTGTCATCAGCAGCTGCCCTGCGTTCGGTGATAGAGGCTGGCTCCCCCCGGCAGGAAGCCACCGCCATGCGTCTGGTGATCCTCGACAACGCGCACCAAGTGGCCGACTGGTCGGCGCGCTACATCGTCAAACGCATCCTCGACTTCAACCCCGGACCGGACCGTTACTTCGTGCTCGGCTTGCCCACCGGTGAGGGAGCAACAACCTGTTGTGCCTGCGCGTGGGTTACGCAGTTTTTTTCTTCTTCTTGCGGAGTTTGCATGCACATGCCATATGTGTGTGGCGGTGATTCTAAAATTTGCTTTTTGACTGTTGCACGTTTTCTCTGTCTTACCTAGCACCTCCATTTTATTGTAAGCGATGCTATCGAAAACAGTAAAAATAATTTTAATGGTGGCAAGAGCTTACTCACCTTTCCTGGATGCATAGCGATTCACGTCATGGCAGGTTCAGAAAAAGGCAGTGTTTTGCTGGTGCAGGACTAAGCAGAATTTGTTCGGTCGTCAAGCTGCATAAGTCTGTGTATGAATGCTTACTGCGTTAGATGGCCTATATGCCATTATTTATGGGAAATGACATGCCATTGTGCATGTGATCATCAATCTACATCAGTCTTAATTCTACATAAGCATTCAATACTGTTATCGGCATCTGGTACCTTTGATGTCCTGCTTTAGTCACATGCATTCCGTTTGTTTTTTGCGGCGCCCCCCCCCCCGTGGCGCGTCATCAGAGTTGTACAAGTTCGGAGCCAGTGATTCCCCTTTGAATGCCAACTTGATGTGGTCCTGTTCGTAATTCGCTGCTGATCACTAGGTGGCACTCCTGGTGGCACGTACAGAGAGCTGGTGAAGTACCATAAGGAGGGAAAAGTCTCCTTCAAGTATGTCAAGACGTTCAACATGGACGAATACGTCGGCAAGTAACCACATCTCTTTGCTGTGGTCGTGTTACTTTGATTTGCATGGATTTATCGGGTTGTGCTGTGGGAATGTATTGCAACCGCGCAATGCGTGTCAAATGGTTGCCTAGTTGTTTGAACCAGTTCATGGTATTATGTCGAAGTGATTAACTCCATTGGGTCGTATCGTCGTATTGGTCGTATTGGGTCCATTGGGGTCGTAAGTGTATGCACGTAGGCTCCGCAAATTTTGCCGTATTCATCCACTAAGGTAACTATTTTGAGAAATCTGAAACATCCGCCCGTTATTAAAAACCGGTCATGCATCACGCATCACGATGGTTGACGTTTGACCCTGATCTATGCACAAGGACGCCGTAAGTTAAGCTTCTACTGGTTGAAGCAGTCGCTATTTTGAGAGCCCCGCGCGAGCAAATCAGATCGGGCAAGGGCTTGGCAGTCTGGCCTAACCGCAACGTGGGCTCCTGCCTGCAAAGTCGCTACCCGATGCTCGGCGCTACGCTGACCGACGCCGGTGGCCGCAGGCATTCCCCGGGACCACCCGGAGAGCTACCACTCCTACATGTGGAACAACCTGTTCAAGCACATCGACATTCACCCGGAGAACGTGAACCTGCTGGACGGCACGTGCTCCGACCTGGAGGCCGAGTGCGCCCGCTACGAGAAGAAGATTCAGGACGCCGGCGGTATCGAGCTCTTCATGGGCGGTGAGTCTGAGGGTGGGAGCGCGATGGCCGGCCGTGCCTGCTGTCGGTCTGAGGGTGGACGCGCCGATGGCGGCCGTTGCCCGCTGTCGGTCTGAGGGTGGACGCGCGATGGCCGGCCGTGCCCGCTTGTCGGTCTGAGGGTGGACGCGCGACGACCGGCCGTTGCCCGCTGTCGGTCGGATTAGAACTGGAGACTGCTAACCTTAGCCCTCTCGCCCGATGATTGAGGTAGATGGTGTTAAGTGGGCCGCGTCAGGCGCGAGAGGCATGATTTGCCATGCCGTGTCGTCGTCCTGTCCTGTCTCGACGGGTGCTCCGACGACTCCCTCGTCGCTGTCGGCGGCTGGCATGCACCAGCCTCGCGCCCGCGTCCGCCCCGGCGGCTCTGTTGACCTGTCTGACCTGGCGCTGCCTGCAGGCATCGGACCGGACGGCCACGTGGCGTTCAACGAGCCGGGCTCATCGCTGGTGTCCCGGACGCGCGTGAAGACGCTGAACCAGGACACGATCCAGGCTAACGCGCGCTTCTTCGACGATGACATCAACAAGGTGCCGACGCGGGCGCTGACCGTCGGCGTCGGCACCGTCATGGACGCCAACGAGGTCAGAGCGCCGGCCGACGGAGGGCGGAGGCCCGAGACGAGGGTATTGCCCCACCCGACCTCCGCTCGCGGCCCGCGGTACGATCGGGGTCAGAAGCGCAGGCAGTGTGCGGTCTGTTCAAATGTGCGTACGTGCTGCGACTTTTATTATATGTTTCGTCGGAGGCTGTTTAGTGCCGAAAATGTGATGACGCGCGTGCCTAGTCTGGCCGCCTTTCGCCTATTGACCTCCTGCGAACAAATTTGGGGTCTCGAAAGTAATCGACGATGGGACGTGAGGAACGAAATACGCAGGGTGACAGGACAGGATCAGAAAATGCTGCATGGCCCGCGAACAGCGGAAGCGCTCTGTGGAGCATTCGTAGTGTTTGCAGGAAGAACGTGTCGTGTAAGTGTCAAGATGGTCGTCATGACAACCCATGGACACTGCCCGCCGCTCGGTCGGTGTTGGTGACGGTCGCCCGGCGCCGCCAGGTGCTGATCCTGATCACCGGGCAGCACAAGGCGTACGCCCTGCACCAGGCCATCGAGCAGGGCGTCAACCACATGTGGACCGTGTCGGCGTTCCAGGTGAGGCGCGTCGCCCGCCCCCCGCCCCCGGCCCACGAGCCCTCAGCCCGTCTGCCGCGCCCGCCCCGCCGCGGGGACGCTGTTTTGCGTTCAGAGAGCCCGGTGTGAAGCTGCGCCTGTCACGGCCGGCGCACAGACTGGCTGGCACGTCGAGTGATGCGATTGGGCGAGTTTGGAGGCTTGATGTGCCCCTGCGTTGTTTGTGTGTTTGCGTCCGCCTGCGTGTTGCTGCTCGTGGCCCTCTGTTGCTATGTTGCGTGTGCAACGAAGGCTAAGCTATCATCAGACCGTGCGGTAACTAACCTTTTGGGTAAAAAATGTGGATAGGTGGGATTCATTATACTGCAGGAGCTGTGGGTGTATAATGTTCCTCCCAATCATAGGGCCTTCGTGTCGTGGGTTGATGCCTTTCTTCTCGTGGCAGCAACATCCCAAGACGATCATGGTGTGCGATGAAGACGCCACCATGGAACTCAAGGTCAAAACGGTCAAATACTTCAAGGTGAGGCGTGGTCAGGATAATTCCGTCGATTTAATTCCTCACAGCCAACTTTGTCCTTGTCATGTGACCCGAGTCACTGATGCATTGTGCTCTCTAGAAGTCCACTTAATCTTAAGCACTTCAGTTGGACGTACCAGTGCATCGTTCGGCAGGCGGTTTGTGTGTGTGCTGATCAGCCACCATTCCCGTCGTTTCAGAGTCTCCACAAGGTTCATCAGCGTTTGTTAGAAGACTCGTAACGTTTACAGTAAGGCTGTATTGGCTAGCCGCTGCAGACCAGACGAACGCTGCATCGTTTTGTCGTTTATTTGCTTGATCTTAGCATTTTATTGCAGACCTTGCTTTGCTATATTATGTCATAGCGAGAGCAATTGATGTATTCCTGCGGGATCGCGCTAGTCTGAGGCGGAGCAGGGCTTTTGATTTTGGATGCCTGAATATTCCTCGAAGTGTCCAGATCCGGTAAATTTGACCGTTAAAACTAGTGTTCGGCAGTGACCCAAGGCATAAGGGTACAAGCGGAACAAAACTTTGAAACTTTGGTTAAGCTTGTAAGGTCAAGTTTGTAAGCTTTATCATGCCGTTCTCCATGCTGCACAGTTCACGGGGCGATGATCAAATACCCAAACATATGCTCAGAGTGTCATCAACTACAACCAACCAAAAGCAAGCATGGTCGCCTTTTATATGACGGGGCAGTGGCGCACTTTGCCACACCGCTGCGGCTGGAAGCTGAGACGCCACTCCTGTTATATACCACTGGTCAACTGCGCTCTCGCATAGTCCGTCTGCAGGCAACAACGTCGCCGTATATATTGCAATGTGAAGGCAGACCACCCGCAAGCCGAGAGAGGCTGTGTGGTGATTAGGCAATTGACAACTGATCAAGGTGTTTTGTTGGGACGTGACATTACGTGCCGGATTAGGAGCTTCTAGCAAACATTGCCCTCTTGGACAGAAATTTTGCCACGGTCTTGGTGGCAGCTAGGGTATTTGCAAAACCTTACATTATGCAAAACTCAGCACTGTGCAAAACCGCGGAGCTGGCCGAGAAAAAATGTTAGGCCAGATCTGTTTGAAAAGTAAGCAAGGGGTACGAGAAAGAAGCATTTCCTTCGCCGACCGTCGCTGGAAATGTTTGCTTGGTATTCAATTTTGTTACAGCGGCCTTAGCTGCATCCCAAGGGAGAGTGGGACACCATTGGGAAAAATTCCGAACTCATATATGTAATATTATATCTATCCTGATATTCTCAACCTAAAATCATCGATAATTTCTTTCGTAGAAAGTGTCCGATCTTTCGTTTTCCTCCGGTTCAGCATACTTTTTTGATTCTATGGCAGAGCAGCTCATAGTACAGCCAGCCATTTTTTATCTGTACACAAACACTGTAAGGAGCAAGTAGCAGTGACGCTTCGCACACTGCGAGCACGCATGCGCACCTGGCATCAGCATGTTTTAATGATTAGCCCTTCCAAAATGTTCGGAAACCTAAATGGCGTGGACAGAAGGGATGCCAATTATCGTTCGTCTTGTACTTGCCGACAGCCGTGCCTGTCAGTTTGGATATGCCGTCTGGTTGTTTGCAGTTTCAACCACAACGCTTGGCTGTGGCGTTTTTAGATAGTGCCCTAGTTAATAATCGCTGGAAGCTGAATAAAGAATGCATGTTTCAGTGATTTACAACGTACACCGATTCTTTTACAACCCTCGGAAAATTTTTGGTCCAACCCCTTTAATGGCTGGAGACCAAAATATTCATGGGAAGCTCTGCGAAAATGTTTGTTCACTGAGCCCAGATGGTCAGGTGTTTAAACGTGGCGTGCTAGTTAACTTTTTGTGAAGTTTTTACGACGTTCATTGTGGGCGCAAAAGGTCGAGCAGGCAGCAACACATGGAGGGACAGTGCAGGTCATGTTTAGCGCTAGAATCTAGTCCTGCGTGTGGTACCTGCATTCGCAACGCAGCTCCGGTAGGGACATGCCATTGACGTCAGTTTTGCTTTCGTTTGCGAGCTGCCTTTATGTTGTATGGCATTTCCAACACGTTTTCTTGGAATTATTAAGATGCTACGAATTGCCGCTATTAACCCAGTGTGTTGCAAGGAACATAACCTCCGTAAAATAGACGTTTTCTTCCAGTGTTTACATGCCGTCCATGCGCCTAACCATGTTGACAATACGTAAAATGCAATGCGACGCGATACCACGGCGGTACATCGCACCACAAGTTAAGCGTGTGGCCGCCAGATGTCAGGCGGTTAACGGCTGTCCCGTGTCCGCAGGAGCTCTGGTCCGTGCATAGCAAACAGATACACGATCCGGTGGACTTCGAGTCCACCCACCGCACCTAGAGGGTCGGGTGCTGCTCCGGCCCCTGGGCGCGAAGCAGCCACCCAAGGAGTGCCACGCGACGGCTGCGGCACGCCGCATCTCGTCTAGGCGTGTACGCATGCTTATTCAGTGGTACTCGGATGTCAGGTGTATTTGGAAGCGGCTGTTTGGTGCGGGCAGTGGCTTCTTCATGTTTATATGGTAACGTAGGAACCATCTTGAGCGGCGTCTAACTCCTGGGAGAACACCACCGCCTTCAACTGGTATTTGTAGCCATGAATGCTGTGATAATAGCACAGATGACTTTATGATCGGTGTCATGCCTCTTGCAAGAAGACAAACTTATTTTTGTGGTCTTGTCAACTTGTATATGCGAAATGCTCCAACTGTTGGCTCAGCATAGCTTCAGCCCAACTCTTTGAGGACTGTTTATATATGATGCTGTCTGTATGATTGCTGTCTACGCCTGCAGATCTGCAGCAGAATACACCTATTGCTTATGCTACCCATGTTTTAGACCAAGGGCAGAAGTGTTGCAAACCTTTGATTAGGATGTTAACCATATGCTACTGATAAGCTAGCAAACATGGCCGTGGACATAATGGTGTGCCCCAAAATGAGGGTATGAACTGGGTTGTTCACGGCTGGTATGCAGCAGCCCACGTAGTCAGTTTTTCGATCATCAGGCAAATTATCCCGCCAATCAGGTGTGGACTACGCGTGTAGATCTACATTTTTGTGGCCAACATCACGATGGTTGCGAAGGCGTACGACCAAGTAGGTTACGCGGCAATCCCGGCAGGTGAAAAGACAAGTGACGCCTCAGCCCTGTGACGGATGTTCTCCAGGGGTCAACAGTCACTCCTCGACGGTCGCCAGGGTATTTTGTGCGCGATGCTCGGTGAGAGCGAACGAACTTCCACAAGTTTTGTGGGCAAGTAAAGGAACTGTTTTTGTAATCAATTTCACATTGATGTGTCACATGATATTCTTTTAACTGTGGGAGTGCTGTTCATGTCACCTGTCTCAAACGCCACCATCTCTGTCCTTCTGATACTCTGAACAAATCAGCATTTAGGCGGGTGTGGCGACGTGCCTTGGTGGGGGTCACCATTCACCAAGCGCGTGCCTATGCCGGTCGGGTTGTCAGATGTGTAGTCCATCACTGGGAAGGAGACAATCACCCCAATTTTGCGGAATTGAGCACTGAACCCAGGCGAGTCGCATGGCGGGATGAAGCGTCTCCAAGCCTCAATTCTTCCCCGCCCTGGAGTGTCACCGGAACGCGATGGTTGCAATGATGATCTGGACGGTTGGCAGGCAGAAGCTCCACCCCACAGGGGCTGCCGATCTAGTCATACCAAAGAGCGCTTTCACTGGGTTTCGGGGATTGAACTCTGCGGATACCCCTCACCACCTTGCCCCGACAGGGGGGGGGGGGGGGGGAGTGAAGAATGCGGTGCCTATGGAGCTCGTTATTTTTTCCCATGAGGGGCTCAAGGGCCTTTTCGTCCCAGCCCCGAGTACCCAAGGCGGAGTATCAGAAAAGCATCTACCAGCTCCAATTCTAGCGACCCGAAGTAGGAGCCCCGGCTGACCTGGGGTTCTCAGGGGCACATATCACACAGTGTACGGACGCAGGAAACCATCTAACCGGAACACTTGGTCCTGGATCGACGTATGGGCGCCTGTTCACACAAAAGGAGCACTCACTGGTAAAGAGGGTCCGGTAATTGGCACAAGTGTCCCAGTTCTACTCATTGAGACCCTGGCCGAAACGTGACAGTTACTGGGTCCCCGGCATGATACATGGGCCCTTCCATCGTCTCACTGTGTTCCCGTTCACTGTCATTTACAGTATTCCCTGGCACTGCCAAGGCAGCTGTGCGAATCCAGCAGTGGTTCAGTCAATGAGAGGGAAGGGAGGCTCATGGGGTTTTAGTCCCCCGTCACGTGCGAACGTAGTTTTCTAACCACGACACTACTGAATATAATTGCGGGATCTGGTCATAAAAAACAAAGCGATTTTAAATATCATAGACACAAAGCAAAACACGCACCACTTCCCGTCATAAGTCATGATTGATAGCCGCTCCTCCTCCTCCCCCCCCCCCCCCCCACTCGCAAATTCTGGCTGCGCCCCTGGGATCGTTACCCCTGACCGCAGTCATATTCCCATACAAGATGAATAAGCCACCTCCTTAATTTGTCAGCCCCGTTCCATTTTGATCTGGTAGCAATATTTTGGCCCGGCTTTCCCTCTGCCGGTCGAAATAGCTCTTTATTGTCAAAGGAGGTAATTATCAAAAGTTCTTGGGATGAAGGCGAAACTGAAGCAGGCGAAAAGATAGGTTGTTGTGGGCATTGTTTTTGGATTCGTTTTGTTCCTGTTGGCTGTGAGTATAATGAGAGGTTTGTAATTCTTATAAAATATTTAAGTCTATGCAGACGGTAAGGTGTTATTGATGACCTTACATTGTGCAAATGGCTAACTTTGAGGCGTTCCGTGCTTGCGTTACAATTGTATCGTATGGGATGTGGCGTAGGGTCTATAGACCTGGATAAGATGCTATGGATGCATGGACATGAATGCATGCGTTACAGGGATCCATTGGTACATTTAGTTTACTTTTACTTTGAAAGGTACAGGCTGTATATGATTTGACCACCATTTTGCACTTAATTATGCTTCATACACCCACATTTCTTAGCAGTTGGCCACTCATGCCTATTGGGCTGGTGCTGTCTTGTTCTGCATCAGGTGGATTTTTGTTAATTAACATAGTAACCTGGGGCTTACTTTTATTTACATAAACAAGTAACTAGTAATACAGACAAGTAGGTAATGCAAGCCATTCAGGTCAGTGATTTTCACCTGTTGTCTGGCTTGCTGAAGATCTACTCTAAGTTACACTTTAACTGTACTTGCATTTTCTTGTATCTATATTCTGTGTGGACTTGCACAAGTTAAAACAGAATACAGGCTCAGTATGTAGTGTGAAATAAGCTATGTGATGATAAAAATGGCTGTAAAGAGTAATGCAAGATGTCAGCAATGCTTCATAAGTATGCTATATGAATGTGTTAAGAGCCATTGCATTATGCATGGTAGATTGATAAATAACCATCATATGACCAACTTAGGTTTGAGCTTTAGGTGTCCAGCTTTGATGTGATTTGAAAGGAGCTGACTAGACAAATACATATATGTGTAATTACCAAGTTTGTTGCATGCATATCACCTATTTCACTGACCCATTCAGACTGATTTTACAGTGTGTGATAAGATAGTGATCATGGTGTCATAAATATGCTATTGGGAGTCAGCTGTGCTCAGTAACATGATTAAGAGTGTATATTTTTACCTGCAGGCTTCCATGAAGTAAACAGCCTGCTCAGGTCATTGGAGTTGTCAGTTATAGTCAGTTGCATGTACACCCTGGTAGCTGCCTGCTTGCTGTAGAAAAGATTATTAAAAGTTGTTCCATGGTATTGTGATTCACAAATATCTTTCCTTGCCAGTAGTTTTCTATTAGTAGTATTAAGTAAGCTTTCAAAGCTTTGGCCTTAAAGTCTAGGCCTAGTGAGTAGTAAATGCCCTCTGGTGCTATTTTAAATCTAGAAATATTTTAGGTCTGGTGCACTTGGTTAAGTGCAACCTTCAGCAGCATTTCAGTGGCTTCAGGAATTTTTAAGATCAAAATAAGACTCAAGAATCAAGAATGTTCTGCTTGTTTTAGCTCAAATGAATGTTGTTTTTCATGCTCAATCCCTTGCAACTGTATCCCATTCTTGTTGGACACTTATTTAACATTTGCATTTCCTCTTGGTAGGAGCTTATTTTTTATCATTGTTGGGTGGGGACCCTCAGCATGTGTCAAGAGTTATGATGAAGGGTATTGAGGCATTAAGCTGCCAGATATGTTGCCTTTATTGGTAAATCATGATCACTGGCAGTGATCACACTGCAATGCTGAATAGTGTCAAATGTCATTTTGAAGCTTTGCTGTGCCATGACTTCAAGTGATGAGGCCTTGTCAATAAGGCCAAATATTTGACACATACACCTTTGAGGTCTTGAAATGTCCTGGAAACATGTATGCATTGAGCATAATGCTGGCAAGAAAAATATGTATCATGAAGAAGCCTTTAGCTGTCTGCCCTTACCCTGACTTCATTTATTAGACCAATTTCTGCTGTGATCCATTTGATGTAGTGATATTTCTGCCTTCCCAATTTTCCTGACAATGCTTTCTTCTTGTGTGATGAGTAAACTGTCACAGTTCTGACATTCTTATGCATTTTCCACATCAGGGCAGGTATTTTCGCTATAGGCTGTAGCCCTGTATCATCTTAAGTGTCTTTGACCTGTATGAATTGGAACCCAGGGACTGTAAATAGCATTTTTTCTCTCAAGTGGAATGCAATGTGCTTGGCAGTCTGGTATATACAGTTTTTCCATATTTTGCTATATGCTGCCTTTGATGAACACACTTTTTAGATGTAGCTGGGATGCTTCATGTTGTACTTGTCAAAATGTCTCCACTATTTGTTTATTTTATTTGCTTCTGTTTTCATGTATGGTACCTTCAGCAGTATAGCATCATAAACTCCCAAATTTGCCTTGCAGAGTTTGCTTTGTAAATGCCAGAAAATGCGTGATGTGATATGCATTGCCGCATCAGGACTTGCATACCAATATAGCAGATGTAATTCTGTAGTACAATTCCAAGTATGCCGGTGACCACATGTGGTTCAGTGTCGTGGATGAATGTGATATGCTGCACTAGGAACATTTCTGAAATCAATTTGTTACATGCGTGCTGTACCCATCGTTCTCTTGCAGTTCTCTTAATATACTGCAGCTCTCTGCCAATGTCATGGGGGCACATTGACATATGATCACAGACATAAGTGTCATTGGTCACCTGATGCTACTACACCTGCCATTCATAACCATAAAGCCACAGGGTTCTCCATCATCCCACTGTGTCATTGGTCACCTGATGCTCCTCCACCTGTCATTCGTAACCATAAAGCCACAGTGTTCTCCATCATCCCACTGCTCTCCACCAACTGCCGTCGCTGAGCCACTCGTGCGCGCCGTCCCCCAGGCGATCGCCGGCGGCGCGCGACATGAAGGAGCGCCCGGAGCCGATGGAGACGATGAGCGCGCCGGAGGCGGAACGGCGCGCGGCGGCCGAGGCGGCCGGGCGCGTGCTGGAAGGCGCGCCCCGAGCCGCCGCTGGAGGCGAGCTGACGCAGCTGCCGCCGCCGGCCGTGCTGGTCGCCGGCGCCGTCGGCCACCATGTCGCCGCCGCTGTCGGAGGCCCGAGCACCGCGCCGACGCCGGCGGACGGCTCAAGTTCTACGGCAAAGGTGCGGTGCTGCCGGTGGACACAGCGCCGCTTTTCGCGGCAGGGGCTGGGGGAACAGGGACAAGGAACTGTTTTTTTTGGGGGGGGGGCGTAGGGGGGGGGGGGGT